CAGGGGAGGTGGGGGTGCTGTGACACACCTGTCAGGGGAGGTGGGGGGCTGTCACACACCTGTCGGGGAGGTAGGGAGGCTGTCACACACCTGTCAGAGGAGATGGGCTGGCCATCTTTCTGCCAGGCAGCCTGGAATTCTGGGGCAGTGTCATCTGGGCAGGAGAGCCGCACCAACTGTCCCAGAGCCGCCTGCACCAAGGAGGGCTCTGTACCTGCCAAGCTAATCCTGGAGAGATGGGAAGTAAGAGCTGCTGACTGGCTTAGCGCCAGGCCCATAACCACCCTAAGCGGTGTGTTCCAGGACAGACAGGGTGGGTCACAGGCACTTTCAGGGGCTAGAGGGTCCCTGTGGGAGGCAGAACCCTAGAAGCCCATGAATTCAGGATCCACCCTCCCCAACCTACCTCTGACTCCCCCGCATCACTGCCTCAGCCTGTTCTATAGTGGCAACAAGGCAGGTACAAAGCCCAGGGGACGGGGAGAGGCAGGGAGGGATGGCACACACCAGGTTCCCATGGGGGCTAAACTACACACTCGGCCCATGTGGAACATAATGTTTTAAATCTTCCCAAATCCCTCATTACTATGACCCAGTCCCAAGAGTAATCTTGAACAGAACCCACACCTGTGAAATATACGGGGCAGGAAATAATGTTGCCATTTTACAGATCAAGAAACTGAGGCTTAGAGAAGCTGGGTGATTTGCCAATGGCCATGAAGCCAGTAATCTTTTCCAGCCAGACAGACCGCGGAGTATAGTGGTGCTATCTGGTGGAGAATCCCGAGCCACCATCTATTAGACATCAGAGGAGACTCAAGTCTCTGAAGCCCCAGCTACTCCATCTGTAGAATGACGGCAATAAGGCCCACCAAGAAGGGATCTTGGGAGACACAGAAGTTATGGATGGGGAGGGAGGGCCAGCTGGCTTCAGGGCGTTAGCTCCAACTGGCTGGCTCCTGGCCTCGGTGTCCTGACCCCCCCTACCTGGGGAAGGCGGGGCTCACCTGTAGGAGGAGCTATGGAAGGGTGGCACTGGCCATCCAGCATCTCCGCCCAGTCCAGGGACCCTGGCCTCAAGCTCCTGCTCCCGAGGCCATTCTCCAAAGGCCTGCCTGTGGGGGACCTCCCCTGGCCCAGGATTTTGGTCTTGCCGCCAGAGACCACCAGAAGGCCAGGGCTTTCTCTGCATCACAGCCCCTGTCCTGTGCTGGCTGGGTTCCTGCTGGCGTGCAGGACTGCTGCCACCACCATCTGTGTGGGTGCTCTGGCCAGAGGCCCCAGGCTGGGGATGGCGGGGCCCGTGGAGAGGCTGGCAGCTGTTCATGCAGTCTTGCTCCGAAGCAAAGTTATTGGCATTGCCATGACACCCACCATACCAGAAGCGGTTACATCGGCCCACAGAGGCGACGAAGTACCAGCGGGCAGCCCAGTCTGCACAAGAGCCATGGGCGCTGGGCAGCAGGCACCGCACGGGATAGGCTATGGGACACGGGTGGGTATATGTCACTGAGGTGTCCAGTACTCAGGCCGCACCTCCATCCCCTCAGCCTCCAACGAAGGAAGCAGGCCCTTCCCCATTTATAAAGCACATCTACACCCCTGCCTGGGGGCCTGACTTTGTCCTGGGATGCAGGCCAATTCCGCCAGAGCCTGTCCACTGTGCAGACCTGGCCCAGGCTGGTGCCACAGCAACCTTCGCCCGCACAGCCAGAGCCACCGGGAGGTCAGGGCCAGGGCTCTCTGGGCTGGCTCCCTTGGACACTTGGCCTTCCCTGACACCAGACCGCAAGCAAAGTGAGCCCAGAGGTGGCCCTGCCTGCTTAGCTTGTGAGAGGGACACAGGCCTGAGCCACCCAGGGGCTGTGAAGATGCCCAGCAAGGGCCTGCCCTTGTCCCCAGGACCCTGCACTGACTGGCCTCTGAGTCCAGCACCCAGCCTGCCATTCCAACAGCCCTCGTCAGCATGGCCTGACACATCTCTCCACGTTTAGACATGACCATGGGTGCCCAGCCTCCTGCCAGCCCTGGCCACAGCCCTGGTCTGGCTTTTGAGGACCTCAGGATGGTTCCCAGCAGCTCTGCTCATTCATCCTGGGCTGCAGCCTCAAAGTCCTCCCTGCCTTCACCCTCCCTCCAGCCCTCAACTCCTGCTACACCCACATCCCAGGCAGAGTCAGGGCGCCCCTGCCCATCCCAGCACTAACTGCCCTGCACCGGCTCTGCCTCAGAAGGGGCTGACTCCCAAGCACAAGACTGGCCTCCCAGCCCCTTGGGATCCCCACCACCCACCTTCCCCAGTTCCCAGAAGCAGCCAGAAGCCCACAGGTTCAAACTGCTGGATGCAAGAACACTTTGGCATTGCCCTCTGGCCTGGCACCTAGCAGGCGCTCAATAAATGTTTGTGGAAGGAATGAATGACTGACTGAGCCCATAGGAAGGTCTTCGGCTCTGGGTGGGTGCTGGGGGAATGGTGGGAGCAGAGTCTACCATTGGGAAGGAGGAGGGGCGTCCACTCACCATGACTAGGCTGGCCCACACAGCCTTCCCCAAGGGGACCAGCTGCAGAGGCCACGTTGTCATAGCAACAGCCAAACTGGGAGCCCCAGCACTCAGTGGGCTCATTCTGCTGGGCCTGGGGCTGGTGGGTATGGTGGACCTGGGGAGGAAGCCCATGATTTGAAAGTTGGCACTGGGTCTGGCCATTGTTAGGGACTCTGGGCTGTCACGGGGAGGATGGTAGGAAGGAGGAGGGACCAGAACCCCAGCCCAGGGGAGACCAGACGCCAGGAGAATGTGGGATGAACCCCCTGCTCCAGCCCAGGCCCATCTTTGGAACCCAGTGCCCCTCAGAGGATGCCCCAGGCCAGCAGGTTTGCAGGGATCTCCTTTCTCCAAGGCCAAAGTGGCAAAGATCCTGGGTCACATTGACACTGAGCAGCCTCCTGCTCCCCTCACACAGGCCAGACACTTACTGTAGAAACCACTGCCCTTGACCTGGGCCTGCTCCCAGCGCTCTCTCCGCTGTATGACCTTGTGCAACCAGCGTGATGGGGCCCCTCAGCAACAGATACGCCATCAGGGCAGCACCCGTACCTAGGCAGACATCGCACAGCCCCTCACTGCCCCACGTGTCCCCATGCTCCCTGCATCCCAGGACCCAGGCTCTGAGGCTCCCCACGGTGGGGTCTGACTGGGAGGAACTGAGGTGGGAGAGGACGTGTCCCAGCAGGCAGGGCGGGCCATTTTGTGTGCCGCAATCTCTGCCTACATCCACCAACTCTTAGCGGCTACCAGGGAGGGCAACCGTAACACAAGCAGTGGCTGCGCTCCTCATACCTGGCAGAGCCTCAACTGCACAGCCCACAAAACCAAGAAGGGGGACATTCATCCAAGCCTGAACAAATGTCAGTTCATAGCGGGGGTTACAAAACGGAAGCAGACGGGAGACGGGGCGGAAGAGGGGGTTCGAAGGAACCCACCATTTACTTCACACCCATCCACCAGGTGCCAGGAGGCAAAGTGAAAGGAGGGAGGGTGCCCGGCACCCTCTCTGTGCCAGGCACGCTGTGATGCACTTCACCCTCACAGGAACCCCATCATCATCATCATTATTCCCAGTTCTCAGAAGAGGAAGCCAAGATGAGAGGCTAAGTCACGTGGCCCAAGTCACCAGCACACGGCCAGTGAGTGGCTGAGCTGGGAACTGCCCCCAGGCTACTGGCCATAAAGTCTGGGCACATAAGCACCCAGTCTCTGACAGAGTACACTGGGGATTCATCCAGGGCAGGCCACAGAAGAAGGTGGGGCAGAGTGAGGGCACCTGGCGGGAGCAGAATGACTTGGACCCAATCCACGGCAGGAGTGGCCAGGGCTATTAGGAAGATTGTAGGGAGCTGGTTGGTCTGGCCAGCCTTTACTGTGGGTTCCCTGAGCCTGGTTAGATTTGAGAGCTAGAATCACACCCAGCGCCTTCCCCACGTCTCAGGCTGTGTATCCACAGGCTGACACTCTGTGGCAAGGTAGGCATTTGTGTCCCCACTCAGCACATCAGGAAGCTCAGCCACAGAAAGCCAAGTCCCCAAGATCTCATGCTCCGGGCAGCCCGGGGAGGAAAGCGTGGGCGTGTATTCCTGAGCTCTGTGCACCCACCCCAGCCCCACCCCACTTCTGAGCAGAGATGTTGGCCCACCCATGGGGCCCCCGCTTTCCTCTTTGACAGGGGAGGAGGAAGAACTATCTCCAGCACCTACCTGCTCTGCTGACAGGGGGCTGTGGGGCAGCCTTGCCACTGTGGCCCGAGAGACACTGTGTGGCCATCGGGGCAGCAGCCATGAGGACTGTGTCTGCAGTCATGGGGCCCTGAGCCAGACCACAGGGGTTGCTGGAATGAGGACTGCTGCAGAGAGGGAGCGGGGCCCAGGGCTGACAGGTGGGTGCCCTGGTCACCTCTGGGATCACCTCGTTCTCCCCTGGGGTCACCCCGGGCTGAGGGGTGCTCCTGGGCTGCCCACCACTGGCCTCTGGAGTCTAGAAAGAAGAGGAAGCAAAAGACACACTGCATCCACTGGCTCCTCCCCTACAGCCCTGTCCACCTTGGACCCACCTTCCTCCATCCCCTGGACCCTTCTCCCCTCCCCCATGGCTGCACCCAGCCGTGACCTCCACCCCCATGCACCATCCACTCAGACACAAAGACTACAGGGCTCTGAGTGGGGGCTGAGACCAAGCTCTCACCTGAGGAAGGGGACTCCCGATGGCCCAAAGGCATCTGGGGGCTGTTGGCAGGGTTGTGCACATCCTGCATGCTGGGGTCCTCTGCACGGAGCCGGGAGGTCCACATGAGGTGCAGAGGGAGGAGGAGAGGATGCACCTGAGCTGTGACCAGCCCTGCCCAGCACTGGCTTCTACCCCACCACCCAGGCAGGGCCCAGGAACCCAAGAAAACACAAGGGAGAAAGAGCACCACTCGGGATTTCAAAAAATGCCCTGCAGCTCTTCGGAAGTCTCCAGTTACACAGAAAATGCTCATCCTTTTTGAGATATCTGTCGCCCAGGCTGAAATGCAGTAGTGTGATCACAGCTCACTAAAGCCTCAACCTCTTGGGCTCAAGTGATCCTCCCGCCTCAGCCCCCTGAGTAGCTGGGACAACTCTTTTTTTGTAGAGATAGGGTCTTCCTATATTGCCCAGGCTTGTCTCAACCTCCCAGGCTCAAGTGATCCTCCCACCTCAGCCTACCAAAATGCTGGGATTACAGGTGTGAACCACTGCACCTGGCCCAAAATGCTGATCTTACATGTTCGGCAAAAAGTACCAGATATAAAATGTGCATGTGTTATGATCATAGCCATATAAAACAAAAAACTAAACATACTTTTGAAAAAAATTGGATTGATGAAAGGCAAGCAATCCAATTAAAAAGTCAGCATTTCTCCAAAGAAGATATACAAATGGTCAACAAACACGTGAAATGAGGCTCAACATCATTAGTCAGCAGGGAAATGCAAATCAAAACCACACCGAGGTACTGCTTCCCACCCACTAGGATGTATATGATCAAAGAGATTGAAATAGTACACTAAATACCACCAGCCTGTACACTTTAAAAGGTTAACTGAATGTTATGTAAATTTCACCTCCATAAAAAATTCCATATTTTTAAAAATTGGATTAATAGATGAAGGGGCCAGGCGAGGGGGCTCACACCTGTGATCCCAGCACTTTGGGAGGCCAAGGCGATGGATCCACGAGGTCAGGAGATCAAAACCATCCTGGCCAACATGGTGAAACCTCGTCTTTACTAAAATACAAAAAATTAGCCGGGCATGATGGTGCATGCCTGTAGTCCCAGCTACTTGGGAGGCTGAGGCAGGAGAATCGCTTGAGCCCTGGAGGCAGAGGTTGCAGTGAGCTGAGATCACACCACTGCCCTCCAGCCTTGTGACAGACTGAAACTCTGTCTCAAATTTAAAAAAAAAAAAAAAAAAGATGAAGGATTAGAAAGAGATTAGATAATGGGCCAGGCACGGGCTCACACCTGTAATCCCGGCACTTTGGGGAGGCTGAGGTGAGCAGATGACTTGAGGTCATGAGTTCAAGACCACCCTGGCCACCATGGTAAAACGCCATCTCTACTAAAAATACATACTGCGTATGCCAGGCGCAGTAGCATACGCCTGTAATCCTAGCTACCTGGGAGGCTGAGGCAGGAGAATCGCTTGATCCTGGGAGGCAGAGGTTGCAGTGAACCAAGGTGGCACAACTGCACTCCAGCCTGGGTGACAGAGTGAGACTAGGCCTTGAAGAAGAAAAAAGAAGAAAGAAGAAAAAGGAAGGAAGGAGAAGAAGAAAGAGAAGGAGGAGGAAAAGGAGAAGGAGAAGAAGAAGAAAGACTAGATAATAAAAACACAAATTTAACAAAATATTAGTTGTGTAATTGAGATGGTGGGTACATGGCTGTTCACTATGCATTTCTTTCAACTTTTTGGCATGTTTAAAGTTTTTATCATATCGTCCAACTTGTACATTTACAAAAAATCATTGGGCCATTAGAATAGGTGGTTTTTATGGTATATGGATTTAAGCAACCTCCCTAAAATTTTTAAAAAGATTTTTCATCACAAAATATTGTTGGAAAATGCAAATGGATGAGTAGATAAGATAAGGACAATAAGAATTTTTTTGGCCAGGCGTGGTGGCTCCCACCTGTAATCCCAGCACTTTGGGAAGCCGAGGTGAGTGGATGGCTTGAGGTCAGGAGTTCGAGACCAGCCTGGACAATATGGAGAAACCCCATCTCTACCAAAAATACAAATATTAGCTGGGCGTGGTGGCAAGCACCTGTAATCCCAGCTACTCCAGAGACTGACGCAGGAGAATTGCTCAAACCTGAGAGGCAGAGGTTGTAGTGAGCCGAGATTATGCCACTGCACTCCAGCCTGGGTGCCAGAGCGAGACTGTCTCAAAACAAAAAAATAAATAAAAGCTTGTAGGATATACCCCAAAATAATGCTCATAGTGAAAGCTGCTCTTAGAGCTTCGGAGGCAGGGTGCCCTTCCCTTCTATTTGTGTTTTTCAAATTTTCCAAAGTAAGCATATTACTATATAATGGAATAAAATTATAAAGAATAAAATAAGTGGGCCAGGCACAGTGGCTCACACCTGTAATCCCAGCACTTTGAGAGGCTAAGGTGGATCACCTGAGCCCAGGAGATCAAGACCAGCATGGGCAACATAACAAGAGCCCATCTCAACAAAAAATCAAAAAATTAGCTGGCACGGTAGCCTGTGCCTGTGGTCTCAGCTACACAGGAGGCTGGTGTGGGAGGGTCACTTGAGCTCAGAAGGCGGAGGCTGCAGTGAGCTTTAATTGTATCATTGCACTGCAGCCTAGGCAACAGCGTGAGACCCTGTCTTAAATAAATAAATAAAATTAAAATAAATGATTATTCCATTCCCACATGGACTACATCTTGCCAATCCCCAGAAATGTTTATTTATTTACTTTTATCTTTTTATTTAGTTATCTTTTTGAGATAGAATCTTGCTCTGTTGCCCAGGCTGGAGTGCAATGGCATGATCTCAGCTCACTGTAACCTCCACCTCCTAGGTCCAAGTGATTCTCCTGCCTCAGCCTCCCGAGTAGCTGGGATTACAGGCACCTACCACTACAACTGGCTAATTTTTGTATTTTTAGTAGAGATGGGTTTCACAATGTTGGCCAGGCTGGTCTCGAACTCCTGACCTCAGGTGATCCACCTGCCTCGGCCTCCCAAAGTGCTGTGATTACAGGCATAAGCCACCATGCCCGGCCTTAATTTCATTTATCACAGCCAGGCCAAAACCTGGAACGAGGCTGACTTGAATTCTTCCCCAGATCTGACATCACCTACAGACAAGCCCCACATTTCTCTGGCTCTGCATTCACAGTCCCCAATCTGGGAATTTCTGCCTGTTGTCCCTCTATCACCTCAATTTTTTTTTTTTAAAACTGAGTCTCACCGTCGCCCAGGCTGGAGTGCAATGGCACGATCTCGACTTACTACAACCTCCACCTCGCAGGTTCAAGCAGCTCTCCTGCCTCAGCCTCCTGAGTAGCTGGGATTACAGGTGCTCGCCACCACATCCAGCTAATTTTTGTATTTTTAGTAGAAATGGGGTTTCACCATGTTGGTCAGGCTGGTCTCAAACTCCTGACCTCATGATCCACCCACCTTGGCTTCCCAAAGTGCTGGGATTACAGGTGTGAGCCACTGTGCCCAGCCTTATCACTTCAATTTTAAGACATCTCTGCCAAACCCATCTTCTCTTCCATTTCTTCAGGCTTAACTCAGAGCCCGGGGTCCCTCCTTGCCCACCCCCTGGTTCCCAGGCCCCTTCATTCCCACCACCCCTCTAGCCCTTGGATTCCTGCAGTCTGCTCCCACGGATTCCTGTCTCCACTTCCGTCTGACCCTCAGGCACGGCCAAATTTATCCTCCTAAATAACTGTCATGGTGTCACTCTCTAGCTCCATAACTTTTAATGGCTCCCCTGGGCCTATTAGATAAACACAGTCTAAAGCCTGAGGCCTGAATCCCTCCAGTAGCCACCCTAGCCCTAAGAGTGTCACCCGTGAACAGAACTCCCATCTCCACCCCTACACCCTGGACTAAGGGCTGGTTCTGGGAGCCCCTACTGGTCTCAGAGCTACTGAATATGGCTATAGCAACTGAAGGGAATAACTGAAGGGAATATGCCGACCTCCTTTTTCAAATGCAAATTTTATGAAATCTGAACACAGGTCAAGTATTCTGGTGAAAATTTAGCCTCTGCAATGAGATGTGCTGCAAGTATAAACTACACATGGGGCATCAAAGATTTAGTTTTAAAAAATCTTATAAGCCAGAGATGATGGCTCACACCTGTAATCCCAGCCCTTTGGGAGCTAAGGCAGCAAACCTGAGGTCGGGAGTTCGAGACCAACCTGACCAACATGGCAAAGCCCCATCTCTACTAAAAATACAAAATTAGCCGGACATGGTGGTGCATGCCTGCAATTCCAGCTACTCTGGAGGCTAAGGCAGGAGAATCGCTTGAACACAGGAGGCAGAGGTTGCGGTGAGCTGAGATCGTGCCACTGCACTCCAGCCTGGGCAATAAGAATGAAACTCCGTCTCAAAAAAAAAATCTTGTAAAAGAGAATGTATAACATCTCACAATTTTACACTGATTACATATTGAAAATATTTATATGGGTTAAATAAAATATATTTTTAAATATAAATTCACCTGTTTCCTTTTATTTTTGTTTTTGAGGTAGTGTCTCACTCTGTTGCCGAGGCTGGACTCCAACTCCTGGCCTCCCACCTCAGCCTCCCGAGTAGCTGTGATTACAAGCATAAGCCACTCTGCTCAGCTATCTTTTCACATTTTTATTTATTTATTTATTTTTTTTTTAATTTTATTTATTTTTTTTTTTTTTGAGACGGAGTCTCGCTCTTGTTACCCAGGCTGGAGTGCAATGGCGCGATCTCGGCTCACCGCAACCTCCGCCTCCTGGGTTCAGGCAATTCTCCTGCCTCAGCCTCCTGAGTAGCTGGGATTACAGGCACACACCACCATGCCCAGCTAATTTTTTGTATTTTTAGTAGAGACGGGGTTTCACCATGTTGACCAGGATGGTCTCGATCTCTTGACCTCGTGATCCACCCGCCTCGGCCTCCCAAAGTGCTGGGATTACAGGCTTGAGCCACCGCGCCCGGCCTCTTTTCACATTTTTAATGTGACTCTAAAAAGATTTGAAATGAAGCCAGGCACACTGGCACACACCTGTAGCCCCAGATATTGTGAGGCTGGGGCAGGAGGATTGCTTGAGCCTAGGAATTCCAGACCAGCCTGGGCAACAGAGTGAGACCCTGTCTCAACAACAACAACAACAAAGCAAAATGAAAAACATTTTGAAACGACATACATGATCTGCATTCTACTTCTACTGGAGAACACTTCTCTTGAATCAAGAAAGAAGAGGAGGCAGAAAATATACTGGGGTGTCCACTTGGAGGCTTACCCTTTAATGGGCCTCCTCATCAAAACTTTACTCCCCCCCAGACCACTCCCCTTCCTCCC